ATTAAATATGTAAGTCTCTAAAATTAAAATACTGTTAAAGATTTTATCTCAGCTAGAAAATGTTTTTTTTTATGAGTCATTCTTTACTGAATGAAGTTTATGAATTCTTCACAAAACAGTAACTAGTTAAATAAAAGTTGCAATGTGATTGCAAGCTTATCTTGTCAGATAATTTAAAGATACAGAACTGTTTTATTGAGTGAGATGTTTAAAAACCTAAATAATAAAGTTCTCCCTAAATTACAAATAAAATAAATAATAATAGCGTTTTTGATAGTCATCAATAATGTAAGTTGTATTGTTTATACTTTTGCTCTGTTGAAACTGGTTGAATCTTTTAATCACAGTAAAAAATGGTTTGTTTTGAATTTCGCGCAAAGCCGTCCCTAATTTAGCAGCAAAAGGCTAGAGGGAGGGCAGCTAGCCATCACCACCCACCGCCAACTCTTAGGCTACTCTTTTTAACATCGAACAGTGGGATTGACCGCCGAGTAGCGATGAAATATATATAAAAGGAGAAAATGACGATAAAATCAGATATTGTGTTTTTAATCTCTCACACACGTATATTTCACTGAAGATATGAGTATTTACCCAAATCTGGAGAAAGATGGAAATCTATAGTAAAGATGTCGTATCCATATAAATCTTTCTGCATTGTTTCATTAGGTGAAAAGGTGAAGCACAGACCATAAGATGTGAGGATGGGTTTGAAAATGTTGCAACAGCTGGTGTCAAACACGGGTAAGCTACATTTTAAAAATAACTCGTCGCACCTAAAAATAGAACCAGAATAATTCGTTACATCAGAATAAAAGATGTTTGTAATAATATTTTGCATGTTAAAAGTGAATGTTAAACAACAAGAAAAAGGATGTATAAAATTTGAAAAAAAAACAACGACTGGAACTTAAACTTGCAATTCTTTTTTTTTTTTTAGAATGCAGTGATACAAAATGTGACGTCAAAAATTAAATGATAGGAAGTTTACTTTATATCGTGAGATAACTTTGAAGAGAGATAATTTACATCTTAATATCTAAACGATAAATAAAAAAAGCATAATATTTTTTCTTTAGAATAAGTAATATTCAGTACAATAATTATGGTAACTATTCAGAGACCTGAATACAATCAAATATTTAAATTTATATAACTTTTATGCTTGTTGTTTAAGCCTAATAACGACCCTTAGAAATACAAGCCCGTTTAATGGATCGATGAATATTGTATTTTGATAATTTGCTCATGTAATAAATAACAAAACCTTACTTTAATTAATTGGATATCGAAAACAATCTTACTTCACACTATTCTCGATAATACGCTCTTTCAGGTTTCTAGGAAAATACGTTTTCTTAGTGGCATTTCCCACAATTCTCCAGTACAGACCTTCGGGTTGTTTGGTTCTTATTGCATCAGCTACCAATGATTTGTCTTTGTAGCTTAAGTTAATAAAAGGATAACCCAAAGCAATGCTCAAGTGCTTCACATCCACGGTACCTGAAGAAAGGAATGAGTTAAAAATAATTATGCTACGCGTGAGTAGGTTAAGAAAACAAGAAGAAATACAATGGATCCTTAGTCGATATAAACAAGTGATTAGAAATCACTGGGAGTTATAAAACTTGATAATTATAGAAATGGAAAAATAGACTTTGTAAACCTTGGAGGGCGGAATCGTGGTTTTGTCAACCATAAAAGGTAGAAGATGAAGTTTTACAAGGAAAACGGTAAACTTCATCTGCTCGTTAATGAACTTGTTCATCTTTAAAAGGCTTGAGAGAAACTCGAACAACTTTAGAAGACGTAAGAAAGGATTGGACAAACTTATGGTTTTAAGATCGAACAACTTTAGAAGACGTAACAAGGAATTGGACAAACTTGTGGTTTTAAGATCGAACAACTTAAGAAGACGTAACAAGGAATTGGACAAACTTATGGTTTTAAGATCGAACAACTTAAGAAGACGTAAGAAGGAGTTGGACAAACTTGTGGTTTTAAGATCGAACAACTTAAGAAGACGTAAGAAGGAGTTGGACAAACTTGTGGTTTTAAGATCGAACAACTTTAGAAGACGTAAGAAGGAATTGGACAAACTTATGGTTTTAAGATCGAACAACTTTAGAAGACGTAAGAAGGAATTGGACAAACTTATGGTTTTAAGATCGAACAACTTTAGAAGACGTAACAAGGAATTGGACAAACTTATGGTTTTAAGATCGAACAACTTTAGAAGACATAACAAGGAATTGGACAAACTTATGGTTTTAAGATCGAACAACTTAAGAAGACGTAAG